CCTAGATTTGGCAGCCCCAATCTGGGCTGGGCCGAATGTGGGCTGAATGTGGGCTAACTTCCGTTACATAAATACCGAGCCGTTTTTGTGAAATTAATTAGTGAATGCATTTCAAAAGTATTTATTTGAAGTGTGAAAGGAGAATAATTAGAAGAACATGCATATTTTTGTTCCAATAGCTTATTATGTGAGACATGATCGGTACTAACGGGTACTTCTAAGAAGTAGTGAAGAAGTACCAAACAGCCTGCTCGGCTACGATCGTCAGCTGTCCTTTGGAGCTGGACTTCAACGCTGTAAAAAAAATATGTGCTGAATTAATTTTTAGTTTCACCAAAATATAAGTAATTTATCATTTCTTTTTCACTTTTGTAATTATTGTTGAGTGAAGAGACATGTTGCTAGTTCTGACAATATAAATTATTAACCTTCGCCCTGGTGGGGGGGGGGGCCATTTTGGCCCCCCCCCCTGTGGTTTTTCAGCGATAACTCAGAAACCACTTGAGTTAGCGCCCTGAAACTTTGTATAGCTGTTTATTCAACATTTTTACATCATGTCCTTTTTTGGAGGGTTCGGGTCAGGTCAGGTCAGGTCACAAGGTCACCAAAACTGACACCACCTCTAAAAAAGTTCAAAGCTCTCTCAAAGGCACAGCTTTTATCCGATCGATGTAAAATTTACAGTACTTGAAGATGTCACTCAGCTCTACAAAATGGCTATCTCGGATTTTTTATAAATGTGACCTAAGGTCAGGTCAGGTCATCGCTGTTCCCCATTATAAGTCAATGGGAGAATCGAAAAGTAGTTGTTTTTCAGCTAAATCGGGCGTGATTGTTCCTATATTTCGTTATTGAAGTGTCTTGGGTCAGCAAATCACAGCCCATGTGAAACCATTTGCTTGTGACCTCGCTGAGGTCACGCTAGGTCATCTCCCTGGTCACCAGAGGTCACCAGCGGTTTTTCTGCACTTACTTGTTATTGAATAGAGATAGAGACTCCGTTCGACGTTTATCGTGTTTGTCTCGTCAATGCGGATCGAATGATATGCAGCATGACCTATTTCGGTAAGGTCATGACCTTGACCTGAGGTCAAATTTTCAAAATGACCTTTCGAGGTCAAACTATATATCATTCGACGCGTCTCGACGAGCCAAGCACGATGGTGCATGAATCGTTTCTCTATTTTCTCGTGAATGCATGCTATAGTTAAAAACATTTTCAACGAAATTTGCCAAGTTGACCTTGCATGACCTCTGTAGGCCAAACCGTTGAGCTGAGGTCAAATCTGACGAACCTTGGCGAAAGAGCTTGAAAAGAGCTATCGATTGCTTTTTTCCGCGGCTCTCTAGCTCTTCTAGTTTCCGAGCTACAGCGGAATATGTCCGGCAACACCGAAAACACTGAAATTTGACCTATGATGACCTCTAGCGACCTCAATATTGACCTTAGCGAAAAAATGACCGAAATACTTTCGAACGTACTTGTTATGGGCTTTCGTTTGCTTTTTTCCGCGTCTTCCTAGCCCTCTTCGTTTTCGAGTTAGACGGGGGGGGTCATTTTGGCCCCCCCCCCCCACCAGGGCGAAGGTGGCTCAGACCCACACCAGGGCGCGGGTTAATTAAAAAAACGAAATGCGACGGTAAGTATCTGCTACTAAATTATCACTTTAACCAAATACATGGAGAATCTTGCTACCATTGCTTATAAAACGTGCTTATCAATACACAAATGTTTTAGTTCAGACAAGAAGGATTTATTTGCCTGAAGTCTTGCGTCATGTGCTACTGCTTTGATTCCAAAGACGCTCTCCGGGTCGGGGTAATTTAGTTCTTCATCGATCGATAAGAGATTTTGATTTCATTGATATCCAAATTGATAAGCTCGGCACCATGGAGTAAGGGCGTCCCCACAGGGGTGACGCAGGAAATATGAATGGCGTTTACACCGACAGTAGTTTCCCACAGCCGGCAATGGGAATCTCCTGTCGGTGTAAACGCCACTATAGTCCCATCCAACTCAAAAACTGGGGAATATCCCCGCACTTTTGAGGACGGAAATCTATGGACCTGCTCGAAAAATAGTGGATAAAATACGGCGAGCTTTCAGTTTTATGGTTGGGTCTCCCTTCCGAGGCACATATTTACGGGGGATATTGGGTCATATTCCCCCGGCGTCCTGATGATCGGCGCCCAGCTCAACGTCGAAGGCGCCCTGATACGCGGCACTGCTATCTGTGAAGGTGCCCAGGTTGCTGCCGCTCGAATTTTGGTCGCCTACTTAACAAAACCTCCGTTGGTGCCATCTCAGTTTCCTCGAGGTCAGGCAACCTTCACACGCCGTTGGCTACCTTGGCTGACCGGCGACTCGTTCCCCTCGTGGCGACGCTCTTGACATCCAGTCAAAAGTTGGAGTGGCTGGCGCCCCCAGTGGGGGCCGGGGAAGGGGCAGTGGGCCTTCACGTTGCTCTCTTCCCGAGCCTATGGTGACTTGGCTCAACTCTCCTCACTAGAATCTGGATTCTGCACGCTGTATTAACATGGGCGTAGACACCACTACGGACAATACGGACAGTGGGTGTGACAATCAGTAGTGTCATTCATATAGAGGGTGCCATATATGAGCGGAGAGGCAACAGTACAGCTGAGCGGAGAGACAACATTAAAACAACAGTACAGCTGGCGTTGCATGGAGCTGCAGGCAACCGGACAGCGGAGGCTTGCGAAAAATAAACAATTCGTCACTTCAACGTATAAACAATAGTATAACAAGCAACATAAACACATATTCTCATGGTCGAACCCATGCACTAGCGGCTCACGGCGGGCACAGGCACGCAGTGCGGTAGCGGTACCGGATCACACGTCATGGGCGTTGTCTCAGCATAGGTTGTTATGAGCGGAGAGGCAACAGTACAGCTGAGCGGAGAGACAACATTAAAACAACAGTACAGCTGGCGTTGCATGGAGCTGCAGGCAACCGGACAGCGGAGGCTTGCGAAAAATAAACAATTCGTCACTTCAACGTATAAACAATAGTATAAAAAGCAACATAAACACATATTCTCATGGTCGAACCCATGCACCAGCGGCTCACGGCGGGCACAGGCACGCAGTGCGGTAGCGGTACCGGATCACACGTCATGGGCGTTGTCTCAGCAGAGGTTGTTCGCAATCTAGTTGAAGCCTAAGAAGACGGCCAGTGGGGTCTCACTGCTGCTGAGGCGACCTCGGAGACGATGCGTCGCCCCTCCTGTCGGCGACCTGCGGTGAGCAGGACTCCAGATAGCTGTCTGGCACGTTGCCGACACTGCTAGACGCTGTCAGCAGGCCTCACTACTGCAAGTGATGTGCAGATGGACGCCAGGTGACTTCGTCTGTAGGCGATTCCGGAGACCGCGGCCTCACCAGGCAGTACCACCTGCATCGCCATGTAGGTGTTTCTAGAAATGGAAAAATAACCGTATCGGTGAAGGACAAGCAATACAATGTATTCTGTTTTCCTCTCTTGCAGGTATACGTAATCTACAATTATCATTGTTCCTATTTCATTCAACTGAACCTGAAAATTCCATATTGGCACATTGTTTGACTAAATTTGTGTAGTTGGGAACAGGGGCGACGCCACGGTGCGACGACTGGAGGGGACATTGACCATTTTGGAGGGGACGAGGACCATTTCAAGTCGATTCTTTCCATGCAACGCCATAGGCGTAATGTTAAAATTTTAAAAAGTGGAGGGGACGAGATCCCCTCCGTCTCGCCCCTGTGGCGACGCCCTTGGTTGGGAAGCAGATTGTTTGAAATACATGTTTGGCTGAACAGTGCAGAAAATATTTCATTGATCACTATAGCTGCAACAAAAATACTGAGACAGAAAACATTTGCTCTTACCTGGCTCCTTAGTCAGTCCCGCACCACGGAAGTGGTACCATTTATCGCGGCCGTCGCATCCGACCATCGGTGCTGCACTGATGCTGCTGCACTCCCCACATTCCCAGTACCTTAGGAGCGTCTTGGCTGTGAAAAGATTACATGAGTCATGGCGCATACATGAATAGTAAGATGTTTTATATGTTTAACATCGCATAGCAAAGACACAACAGTTGGGAGTCAAGTGTAAGCCAAAGTGTAAGCCCTGCCATCTTTTGCAGACTGGATTTTAAGCAAGAAAAGCTTTGCTAAAATGACGCTTGACGAAGCCTCATCCTACTGGGCTGTCTGACATGTCTCCCTGTAAAAAGCATGTGGCCCTTATATTGTATATATGATGAATATGTTATTAATGCAGAGAAAACACAGTATAAATTATACCCAACGTTTCATCTTAATCGACTTTGTCAAGGGTGTTTGAACAGCTTGAGATGAGTGAAGTGTAAGGGTACCTAGGTACATCTGAAAATAAACTGAATCTGCGTTCAATAAACATTGATTTTGATAATACATTTCACAAATCAACTGCTAATAACAATCATACTAAAATAGCACGACAGGTAACTAACAATCGCATGAAGAACTTCTAGTTCGCCTTGACATTGTCGTCCGAACTGGTCCGAACGAATGTTGTCTGAAGTTACACATTTGTCTTTTCTGCGCAGTATTTGTGTTTGCCATTTACCGCACCAATGTTCGCCAGCGGTGGTGACTTTTCCTTACCTGCTCACGAAACGTCACACACGACATGACGTCACCCGAAGACGTCATCAAAAAGTCCAGCTCTTAGGCGTGTCCCGATTTGTGTCCATTTTTGCGTATGTGTTTAATCGCGAATATTCTGCAGGATTGCAGTGCAGCACTGAATAAGTTTGTCTGTTATAAGGCCAGAAACATTCTCTCAGTGTTCAGGCCATTTAAGGCGATTTGATTGCAGTGGGAGAGCGACACTCGTACGACCTTGACCTTGGCCGCGCCATATTCGTCTTGAGTTCTGTGTTTGCCCCCCCCCCCCCATTGCCCTGTTTGTCTTTCGTTTCTGCTTTATTAATTTTGATGTATCCTTTCAGAAACCTTGCTTACTTGCTTACTTTGGCCTGCTTGGATGCTTGTGAAGCTGGAGTCACAATACAGAGGCCAACTATCAAGTTGCACGAGTTTTGCACCACCAGACTGCCGAGTTTTGGAGACGCCTGGAGGCTACAGTTTCAACATCACCTTCATCTTCAGTTGAGTTCGGAGCAGCACGCCCAGCCAAGCTGACCTGCAGCAAGTTCGTCTCGCACTCTGAGGTCAGGTCACTGTGCTGCCATATGGTTTCTTGGGGTCAGCCAGTGGACTATTGTGGTGTGTGATGGCTTTATGCAGGGGTCAGCTGGTTTGAGGCCCTGTTTTGATTGGATAATAGCAGTTTGGTCAGACTAAACAACTTGTAATATGTCTGTGAATTTGGTTGACAAAGCTGTTGGTGATTTGTTTTGTAGTCAAGGGAAGCAGTAGTTTAACCTGGAATAGGCAGGTTGAATTTGATTGCGTATTGATGTTTTTGGATTAGGCTGCAAACTGTGCATGCTTGGTTTGAAGGTTGCGCAGCACTGAGCTGATTGGTTGCGTTGATGATTTTTGGTTTATGTGGCTGAGGTTTGTGGTTTTGTAAGATTCCTTCATATTCCTTGCCTGAGATTTGGAATTGCCTATCCTATTTTCCTGTACATTACCATGGCCCTACCACTGCTAGCAGCCATTCAAGGTCTTCGAATCTCAGAACTGAAGGTTGAGCTTGAGAATCGTAACCTAGACAGCAGGGGAAACAAAGCTGCTTTGGTTGATCGTCTTTATGTTGCTATGGAGAAGGAAGGTGTACAGCCAGAACAGGTTATGCAACTGAAGAAGGGTCTATCTGTAGAGACGAGGACCAAAGAGGATGGGGCTGAACCACAAGATGAGACCAAGTCACAAGAAAATGCAGTCAAACTTCAAGATGTGACCAGAGCACAAGAAGATGTAACCACAGTACAGAATGTGATTACAAAACCTGAACATGCAACAGAGACACCAGAAAAGCTGGCCAGACAAGCTGATGGTGTGACCTTACCACTGCCAGACGTCCGTCCAGAAGACAGTGCCTCACAGCAAGGATCCAGGACATCTCGTCGTTCAAACCGGTCCAGCACTGTAAGATCAGTTCGGAGTGCTGCCAAAGAGGAACACATGAAGTCAGCCGCAAGAAAGGCAGGAATCTTAGCCAAGATGGAAGTCCTAAAGGAGCAAGCTACCCAGGAAGCTAAACTACAAGAGCTTATAAAAGAGATGGAGTTCAACAAGCAGCAAGGCTTGTTGATGGCGCAGTTGGCAGAGGAGGAAGCTCAGCAGCAGGTTTACGAGCAGTGTGGAAGGAGTGAGGTTGGGTCACTTCACAGTTCCCAGGGTCTGCCAACCCGACCCTCACCTCAGGTATTGAATCCACAGGCCTCCGTCTTCCAGCCTCAGGGAAACCACGCAGAAGCGAGCCAGAAAGGCCAAGTGATGGAGGAAAGGTACAAGGAGTCTGAAGCGCACTGGCAGATGGCTCATCTACCCCCAGCGGAAATAATTAAGTTTCAGGGCGATTCAAGCGAGTATTTTTCCTTCATCCGCTCATTTGACAGCCGAATTGGAAAGAAGGCTATATCTGAGGAGGAAAAACTGTTCTACCTCCAGCAGTTTACTGAAGGTCGGCCGAGGGAGTTGGTCCGTGGTTGTCTTCACATGCCGCCCAGCAAGGCCTATCAAGAGGCGAGAAGACTGTTGCACAAGAAGTATGGAAACGAGGACAAAATCAGTGCAGCCCACGTAGAAAAGCTTTTGTCTTGGCCAAACATAAAACAAGACAACCTGGAAAACCTTGAGAACTTCTCTGTCGCGCTAATGGTATGTGAGAGCGTGATGTCAGACATGCCCGCCGGCATGCGGGAAACGGACCACCCGCGAACTCTTCGCAAGCTGGTTGAAAAGCTGCCCTTCCCGATGCACGACCGTTGGAGAAGACTGGCCGACTCAGTCATGGAAAACCAGCATCGGCGAGTGACGTTCTCAGACCTGGTGGCGTTTGTTGATAAGGAGACCAGGGTGGCAACAAACTCACTCTTCGGACGACAAGTGATGAACACATCGAAGGTGATTCCAAAGGAAACCAGGATGACTCCTAAGGATACTCAGCGTCAGAAGCCGAAGTACGGACTAGCGACTGCTGTACAAGTTCCCGCTGGCTGCGCTTTCTGCAAGGAAGGACACTCTTTGGAAGACTGTGAAGCACTCAAGCAGAAGGACCTAAATTCCCGAAGAGACTTCATCAAAGAAAATAGGCTATGCTTCGGATGCCTGAAGAAAGGACATGTCGCGAAGAAATGTCAGCAAAGAAGTACCTGTAAGGTCTGTGGTGGAAGACACGTCACGTTGCTGCACGAGGAAAGAAGCCAGAAAGATCCTCAGCACCGACAGACTCCTGAAAAACCTCAGGAAGCCCCATCTGTGAAGACGTGCCGAGTACAGCACTCCAAATGGAACACAGGCTTGGCAGTCGTACCTGTGATAGTCAAGTCATGGAAGAAGTCAGTAACTACACATGCTCTTCTAGACAGTGGCAGCACTGCGTCCTTCTGCCAGGAATCTCTGCTGCAGAAGCTGGGACTCGAGAACAAGAGTAAGAAGAAGCTGTCCCTGACAACAGTTTGCAAGGATCAAGTCGAGATTGAGAGTCAGATCATCACTGGGCTCGAAGTAGGTGACATCGATGGACAGCATACCCTCCAGCTGCCAGCAGTCTACAGCCTAGAGAAGGTACCGGTCGATGTGAACGACATACCAAGACAAGAAGATGTCAGCCGTTGGCCGTACCTGAGTGGTGTGAATCTGTCGAGCTTGGATGCACCAGTCGAATTGATGATAGGCAACAATGTCCCACTGGCGATGGAGCCGTGGGAGGTGATCCATAGCCAGGGAGGAGGGCCTTTTGCCACCAGGACACTCTTGGGATGGGCTATCAACGGTCCTGTTCGACATGAAGGAAGAGGGCTGGTGAAGGCAAACCGAGTCAAAGTAGAAAACGTTGAAGACATCGAGGACATGATGATCCAGATGTACAACGCAGAGTTTACTGAGAAACTCTCAGACAGCTCGAAAGGACCTTCGATTGAAGACAAGATGTGGCAGAAGAAGGTAGAGGAAACCATCACGTTCACGGAAGGACACTACGAGATAGGTCTTCCTCTGCGAGACAAGGACACTCAGATGCCAAACAACAGGAACATGGCGCTGCGGCGACTCTCCACCATCCAGAAGAAGATGGAGAAGCAGCCGAAGTTCAGAGAGGACTACACTACTTTCATGAACAACGTGCTAGAAGAGGGCTACGCCGAGGAGGTGCCCGAGGAGAGCCGAGGAAGAGCGGATGGGCTGGTATGGTACATGCCCCACCATGGAGTCTACCACCCTCACAAGCCTGACAAGATTAGGGTTGTGTTTGATTGTGCGGCTAAGTCTGACGGTGTGTCGTTGAACGACAAGCTTTTGCAAGGCCCAGATCTGGCAAACTCCTTAGTTGGAGTCCTACTACGCTTCCGCGAAGAACCAGTAGCCTTCATGGCAGATGTGAAGTCCATGTTCTACCAAGTAAAGGTTCCAGAGTCTGAAAGAGATCTGTTGAGGTTTCTATGGTGGCCTGGGGGCGAGATCAACGAAGAACCAAAGGAGTACCGCATGACCGTCCACATATTTGGAGCTGTCTCATCCCCAAGCTGCTCAAACTTCGCGCTAAGACGGACTGTCGAAGACCACCAGGATGACTTCAGTGAAAAGGCACTGGAGACTGTCAAGAAGGCGTTCTACGTGGACGACTGTCTCCAGTCGGTGTCGTCAATCGAGACGGCGAAGTCGCTGGCGTCAGAGGTACAGGCTCTGTGCGCCAAAGGAGGTTTTCATCTGCACAAGTATGTGTCCAACAGGGAAGGAGTTCTCGACAAGATACCGAAAGAAGATCGAGACGAAGGTTCTTCTAAGAAAGGACTTCACTTGGAAGAAGCGACAAGCGTCAAGAAAGCACTGGGTATCAAATGGAACCTGGAGCAGGATACCTTCAGCTTCTGTGTCAGGGCAAGAGAGATGAAAGTGACCAGAAGAGAGATTCTTTCTGTCATCAGTGGAGTGTTTGACCCTTTGGGCTTTGTGGGGCCATTCATTCTTACTGGTAAGAAGATCCTACAGGAGCTGTGCGCCATGAAACTTGGTTGGGATGAAGACGTCCCGGAAAGTCAAGCTCTGATCTGGACCAAGTGGCTAAAGGACCTGCCGAAGCTGGAAGCGTTGGAAGTGGCAAGGTGTCTGAAGCCAGCGAGGTTAGGATCGATCGTCTCAAGACAGCTACATCACTTCAGCGACGCGAGCACAGTGGGTTATGGTGTAGTGTCATACCTGCGTCAGACGGATGACAAAGGGCAGGTACACTGTATGATCCTCATGGCGAAGTCGAGGGTCGCGCCGCTCAAGAAGATGACCGTACCTCGAATGGAGCTGGCTGCCGCAACAGTTGCAGTGCGACTACATGCGATGATCACAAAGGAACTTGAGATCCCTATAGACGATGCTACCTTTTGGACGGATAGTTCGACAGTGTTACGGTACATCAACAACGAGGGGACAAGATACCAGACGTATGTCACGAACCGGTTGGCGGTTATCAGGGACGAATCTGCACCAGCGCAATGGAGATTCGTTAAGTCGGAAGATAACCCAGCGGACGACGCCTCGAGAGGGCTTATGGCGGGTGATCTTCTAGAGAACAACAGGTGGTTCCATGGTCCAGCTTTTCTGGGGAAAGAAGAGTCTGAGTGGCCTCGTCCGCCTGAAGGACTTGAAGACACACAAGAAGCTACAAGAGATGCTGATGTGATTCGGCCTGCTGTGGTTGGCTCGGTCTGCTTTGCTGAGGACGCACAGCCTAATCCGACAGATCGGCTTCTGTACCACTATTCAGACTGGCTCAGACTCACAAAGGCAGTGGCATGGTTGCTGCGCTTCAAGAAGTACCTGATGGCGAAGAGAATGACGACAGGAGCAGCAAGGGAAGGACCGGTCACTCGATCCCAGGCTCGGGATAGGGAAAGGTCTGCTTGTCGGTTGTCAGTGGCCGAACTTGAAGAAGCGGAAAAAGCCATTCTCCGGCGAGTGCAGGAGAGTACGTTCGCATCGGAACTACAAGCGCTGAAGCCTCAGTGTTCTGATGGAGAGACCAGGCAAGATCCAGTGGACCGGGCGGTGAAGAGAAGAAGTCCTCTGCGGCAGTTGGATCCCATGCTAGAGGACGGACTATTGAGAGTCGGTGGCCGTTTAGCCATGGCCCCACTGGATTCCAAAGCAAGAAATCCAGTCATACTGCCCGCACGCCACCCTGTCTCAGAGTTGATTGTACGGCATGTTCACCAACAGGTGGGCCATCAAGGAAGAGAACATACATTGGCGGCGCTACGTGAAACTTTCTGGCTGATTCACGGCAACTCGGAAGTGCGCCGGGTCCTGAGGCAATGCAAGCATTGCATAAGACGGCAAGCACGACCAGAAGAACAGAAGATGGCAGATCTGCCCCCAGAGAGGGTAACTCCAGATCAGCCGGTTTTCAGCAGTGTCGGTGTTGATCTGTTCGGTCCGTTTGTGACGAAGAGGGGCAGAGCCTCGGTCAAACGGTACGGGGTAATTTTTACTTGCCTAGCCACTCGAGCCATCCATATTGAGTTGGCGGACTCAATGTCAACGGATTCTTTTATTAATGCGTTACGACGATTCACAGCGAGACGAGGGCCAGTCCGGATGATCAGGTGCGACAACGGGACAAATTTTGTCGGAGCCGAAAAGGAGCTTCGCAAGGAACTTGAGCACCTAGAACAAGATCGCGTACACAAGAAATTGCTTGAAAGCAAGATTGACTGGATTTTTAACCCCCCAGGAGCCTCCCATTTCGGTGGGGTTTGGGAGAGGCACATTCGGAGCATCAGGAAGATACTCAATTCCCTCCTGACCAGCCACACCCTTGACGACGACGGCCTCACCACTCTCCTGTGTGAGATCGAGAGTATCTTGAACAGTAGACCACTGACGACGGTGTCAGCAGACCCGAGAGATTGTGAGCCGCTTACACCGAACCACTTGCTGCTTTTTCGCGGAGGTCATGTCACGCCTGGAGTCTTCTCCGAATTTGACCTGCATGGTAAGAGATGGCGCAAAATGCAGTATCTCGCGGACTGTTTCTGGACGAGGTGGAGGCGGGAGTACTTGCCGCTCCTCCAAAGGAAGCAGAAGTGGAACAGTGTCCGAAAAAACCTGGAACCAGGAGATGTGGTCCTGGTGATGGACGAGACACTCCCGAGAGGCCAGTGGCCACTTGGAAAAGTTGCTGAAGTGACGAAGGACCAGAAAGGTCTCGTGAGGCAAGTAGTGGTGAGAAGAGGAACTTCAACGTTCCGTCGACCAGTGTCGAAGCTGGTGAAGCTCGTGAGCGGCGAGGACTGAGCACTACGTGGCTGAGGAAGACGAAGTTCATTTTTATTTAAGAGTGCAGTGTTGAATCGGAGATGATTCAAGGAGGAGGGTGTAAACGCCGGAAGCGTTTATGGTCTCCATTTGGTTTTGGTTTATATTCTCCTGTCCTTTCCTGTCCCATTGTGAGCCCATCGGCCCGTCTTGTTGAGCGAGCTGTAGGAAACGGAGAGCCAGTAGAGGGCTCTGCTGTCTGGTTGCAGCCAGAGGTAGGGGGCAGCACGGAGCACGGGTTGAGACGCTGATTGGTACTTTGGTACTTGCAGGGCACTAAAGAGTTGGTACTTGTGTAATGTGGAATGTGAATGTGGAATTGCGTCGTGTCGAATGGTTAGCCAAATACTCATGTTAAAATGCGTTAAATTTATGATTCGCGTGATATCTCATGTGATGCATAGGAGCCTTTTGCATTCAGAGAAAGACCTATTATAATGGACACGGTACTTAGTGTGGTACTGGAAATAGTGCTGGTACTCATACGCCAACACGTCAGATTTGGTAACCGCCCATTTCATGCCGCATTTTGGTTCTTGGAAAGCGTTTGAAGTATAAGAAGGCGATAGCGTTCAGGCGTGAAGAATATGTCTGCAGGTGGATAATGTTGGTGAGTGTTATCGTCTCTAGCGATAAAGAGACGCTTAATTGTTATCAATATTAGTATTCATTGCGCTGCATTGTTACAAACTGGATCTGAGAAATGCGCCGATTTGTGTCCATTTTTGCGTATGTGTTTAATCGCGAATATTCTGCAGGATTGCAGTGCAGCACTGAATAAGTTTGTCTGTTATAAGGCCAGAAACATTCTCTCAGTGTTCAGGCCATTTAAGGCGATTTGATTGCAGTGGGAGAGCGACACTCGTACGACCTTGACCTTGGCCGCGCCATATTCGTCTTGAGTTCTGTGTTTGCCCCCCCCCCCCATTGCCCTGTTTGTCTTTCGTTTCTGCTTTATTAATTTTGATGTATCCTTTCAGAAACCTTGCTTACTTGCTTACTTTGGCCTGCTTGGATGCTTGTGAAGCTGGAGTCACAATACAGAGGCCAACTATCAAGTTGCACGAGTTTTGCACCACCAGACTGCCGAGTTTTGGAGACGCCTGGAGGCTACAGGTTTCATTGACAAAAACATCAATCAGTTCGTACCAAAATCACTCTCCCATTTCCGTATCACCATTTCCGTACAAGCACGCGTCATCGAGCGCAGCGAACATACTCAAAGACAAGACTCACGTCAGCACACCGTCACAGCAAATGAGAACCACCAGACTGGCTCGGCTGGGTTCTGTCGCCAGAAGGCTGTGATCGATCTGAGCAAACCCACAGTCAGATTAGCATAAAGGTGGTGGTGCTCGCTCGCACGGTAACCCCCACAGGAAGTCGTTTTCTTGCTTGTGAAAGGGGCATTACTGAACATATTCAGCACTCAGCGCGCATCATCGACAGTAACGAGGTCACATCACGGGGTAGTCAGTCACGGCAAGTAACCGTGACGACTTTCGAAACCATCACATTCGAACAATCAAACCCATTATCATCTCCAAAGCCGATGATGAGCCACACCACTCCTTTCATGGCCGCGACTGCGTGATTTGGAGTTGAAGTTTATCATCGATCACGAATGGTCAACAGATCAATGAGTTCATGATCTGTCACACAGACCACTAATGGTGGAGCAATTCCGGTCACAAAGCGGTCGAATCGGCCGCATGCTCAGTGAGAGGTGTTGATAACCCCGTGGTCAGAGCTGGTGAGAACGCCAGTGGTGAGAGCCGGTGAGAACGCGCTAGGTGACATCTGGTGAGATGGGCGAGACGAACGATAGAGCTCACCGCCGAAGCGTCACCGGTCAATGTTCTTGATACTGTTCAGAATGTAGCTGCCCAGAGCATCGTCCTGGCGGAAACAACGACAGGGGTCAGGGACCGGAAGGCTTTGGACGTCAACACCTGCACGATTTGTACGGTAATCTTGCACCTGCATGCTGAATAAATAAATGAGTAGAAGCACAGAAATTTGGCAGGTGCGCTCCATGCATCACACGGAAATGATACACAAACTTGCAAATGGAATTGCCTGGAGGTGTGGCTATTAAGCTGGCACAAATGTTAACGAAAGAGGGGAAGTGAAGGAACTTCCTCTTCCTAGCATCTTTCAAGCAAAGGCTCTGAAAGATCGCATTTTTTACACACACGAATTAGGTGCTCTCAGATAAAAAGAAACTTACGGCGTTTAATTGTCAGAGGGCAGCAATACCTAAATGCAGAGAGCACTCAGAAGAGTGTAGACTGTGAAGCATAGACCAATCAATCCCATTCCCTCCCTTGACTCATGTAAACTAAAGACCCATGTAAGCTCATGTAGACTCATGAGTCATGAATCAGACCTGCTAGCGTTCTGACGCCCGAGACCGGCGCCGGCGCCGGCGGCAGTGGTGTCGGTGTCAGTATCGGACCACTCGTATGGATCGGCAGGTCACATTCACAGCACCCACTCCCTCCTCTCCCATCCCCTTCGTCCACGCACGCACACACGGCCGGCCGGGAAATAGGAGCCGAGGTAACAATACCCTCCCTCCCCTTCCCCCTACCAAGGGCGCACACAAACGGTGGCCGGATCGGGAAACAATCGGAGGGAATGAGCACTTAAAACGGACGGATTTCATACGACTAACATTAAATAGAAACGCAAGCCTCATTTCATGCATGTTTGATTCCGAAAAGGCGTGCCACCAATACTCGAGGAAAGGCCTGATAAAGGAAATGGCGAAAGGCGTTAGATTTCTCCATATGAAGTTAGTAGAAATCGAGGGGGTAGAGATTGACCCAACTTTCAGACCTGAACACACCGGCAAGACCCTCATGCCTGATTGTCATCCGACCTCAACAGACAATCGACTCGTGTAACAAACTAGGCGCTATTGACGACCGCGACCTGCGTGACACTCCCTGCCGTGAATCGTTCGAGCCACGGCGGACAGGTCAGCGACCCCTCCGGCGGACCCACATAGACCACCGCCTGACCGACAATCCCACACAAAGCCCGCCGGACCGACGGTCCATACAGACCACCCCTGGCCCACCGGCACAGACAGAACCCGCCGGACCGACCGTCTACAGCGAACCACTGCCGGACCTACGGTCGCACATAGACCCCTGCTGGACCGGCGGCACAGAACTCAGACTGGCGTGCGACCGGTCGATGATCGACGTAGAGCGGTATGATGATGATCGATTGAGTTCTTGTGTGCGTGTATATGGGCGAGGGAGGGGGGGGGGGGGGGACATTCCGACGGTGTGCTTGGTAGTTTGGACATCAATGGACGCCATCCAGCAGAGGTGCTCGCCGCTCACAGAGAAAGGTCGATACGGGACAGTGTTTGCTGCTGGACGCCGCACAAAGTGAATGGGGAAAAGGTCAATACAATCCAACGGGAGACTGGAACTTGCAACACAAACACAACAACAGCTGCAAAGCTGTAATTGGTGAGCGTGTGACAACTGGTGGCACTTCAACTGCACGTTAGCAGAAATGATGGCGTTAGGGACGGTGAAGCCAAAGACCAACAATTTAAGTTTAAGACTTCGACAACCATTCCCTTCCCACAAAAAAAAATCAGTAAGAATGCTACTCGTAGTCGAACCGGGGAGTAGCCTGAGTTCAAGTGAGCGTACAAATCAATTCGCCGTTACACGAAGTGTATCTAAAGTGGATGTGAGGTGGGTGTGTCTAAAGAGTGTAACTATTCACCGCCCTCCACTGACAGCGTGGTACGACGCACCTGGTAGGTCCAGGAGACGATGGCCTCCTTGAGGTCCTCCTGGTCGGAGCCGGACACCTGCAGTAGCACCGAACCGATGTTGATTGGACCGTCACCCAGGTGCTGCGTTATACCCAGGCGCCTGTCAAAGAAGGGAACACGAACCGGTCACACACTGACGTATACTAAAAAAAACAGGTGAATATACTAGGTGAATATACTAGAATATACTGATGGGTGAATCATATATGACGGGTTATTTGTTTAACAACACATCCGGCACCTATGGTTGCCGGCACCTATGGTTGGCAACCAGGAGCACGGTGAATAAAAGCTTTAAATCAGCACATCAAACATCGTAGAAGTTCAACACCGTCGTTACTGGCGTTAAGTCAACATCAGCAGAGCAGCTATCAACAACCGCAATCGGTGCGTCTACATGTACGTTTCAGTACAACCTCCTCGTCTCCCGCAGCTCATTTCTGAAGAAAGGTGTATAATTGCTCCCTCCTCTTACTAGGGGTCCATATTGTTCTCCCATTTGCTCACTTTTGTAGGTGGGTGTGCAGCTTATCGATGGTGCGTGACACCGGTCCCGGGTCCTCCAGCGTCACGGTCGACGTGAAGCGGATCTCGTGACGCGTCACGCCCAGTTCCGCGCACGCCGCGTCACTGTCCAGCACACGCACCTTCTGTAACACGCGGAAAGTGCAAACGTATGTCACACACACGTTTATTGACACTGCATATCCGTCAGCTTTCTAGCCACGCTACAGGTTTTATGTCATAGGTGCAGGGGCTGGATGATTACCTATCGAACATCAGTGTAGATGGAACATCATGGCTCGATCCCACTTCAATTCTAGTGATGATTTTTTAACGGGTACACGCATTTTACAATGACAAAGTCAACACCGATTAACTCTCCCAGGATACTCCTGTAGATAATCAATATCTACATGTCATTCACAATACATACTTTGGATAACGCTGGAGACATCATAATCATGTGATCGCAGGATAAGAGTTCAATTCTTACCATCATCTTTCTCATCCCCAAAACGCCCACCGGTGTCTCAGCCCGAAAACCGTCATAGACCCTTTATTCCCCGGCCGCCGACCACTTACGTTGCCTTTGACCATGAGCACGCCGTGAAGCAGTTTGCGGCGTTTGACGCGCAGGTCGCCTATCTCAGCCACCGGCTGCAGGTCACGCTTCAGTAGCGACAGAGACACGTCGGCCGCTATCGTCGGCTTCGTCACAATCGTACACGTCTCGCCGTTGGCCGGGTTGAAGCAGTCTAGAGATAGCTCCTGTATAAAGAGAGTAAGTTGGGTAAAAGAGGGAAAGAGATGAAGTAAGTTTATCAAAACAAAGGAGGATAAGAGTTCAGAAAAAAAAAATTATTCAGTATATGTCAGAAGCAGTAAAGGAGAGATGGCTATCAGACTTACACAAGTATTATAGGAAATGTGGGCAATTGGGATGTTATGTTTTCCACCACTTCACTCGCACTGACACCTGCAGATCAAACACTATGTCGTGAGCCTGTCTAAACCTGATACCCTGCCCCTTCCCAGACCAACCTGCTGGATCTTGGACTTGAGGAAGACCATTTTCTCCGCGTCCCCGTGTACGAGCATCACGTTCTTGGGCTGGCAGTACTGGATCAGCTGCATGATGCCCTTGGCGTCCGCGTGTGCCGAGAACGACATGTACTCCACGGCCATTCGAACGTCCACCACGGTACGGGGATTCTCGAACTCGACCTTTTTGGCGCCGTTCAGCACCTTGTGGCCCACAGTGCCGACCACGCAGTAGCCCGGCATGATGAGCTGTGTAAAGACACAGAGGGAGAGTGGGAATTGGTCAAAATAGGTACAGGGGTGAGCACCTCGAATATAAAGAAAAATTAGGCAAGACATTAAAAACTATTGAATCATATTAAATATAGCTAGCATAGCTAACAAACTATTGTTAATGCAGACTAAAAAGCTACCGATAAATATGACGCAATGTGTACTAGTAGTTTTAGGCAACGTCGACGAAAAACACACACATTTCGAAACATTGGTCCTTTTGCATGTACAGTTCGTTGTCATCCTCCTGGGGAGCTTGATCACATCAACTGACTGTTGTTTAACGATGTTTTCGGTCAGCACTATCAACGACACTGATCAGGGTTCGGTGCCCTCGAGAAGTTACTTTACCACTCCTTCCAAAGGTAGCTTGTTAACAGGTCAAAGTGTTCACCAGGCGCCCAGTTGAGTTACGCAACATAACATAGTCCCTAG